ACCTGAACTCCAAGTCTGCCTCTCATCTGTAGAACAAGTTTAGAATGCCAGCTGTGGGGCTGAAGGTATGGCTTTAGGTTAGGTTTTTAAAAAGAGGTAGCCGAGTAAGAACTGCACCACGCACGTGGTATTCAGGTAAGGGGTAGGTTTATTCAGTAGACCTGCTGGGACCAGGCAAGGATGGCATTCCACGTGGCTGGGAAAGGCCTGGGAATGAGAGAGAGAGCTGGGAAAGAGAGGAAAGAGAGAGGAAAGAGCTAGAGCAGAGAGAGAGAGGTAAAAAGAGCAGCGAGAGAGCTAGGTAGCAGAGAGAGCTAGAAAAGAGCAGTGAGAGAGAGCAGAGAGAGCTAGAAAAGAGCAGTGAGGGAGAGCCTCTGGGCCTGGGCTAGGCCTTACCTAGGGTATGGGCAGAGAAGTGTGTGGCCACATCAAATTCAGATGTGACCTCAGCGGATGCAGATGTGACCTCTTCCAGGTGTCCCAGTTGCCTAGGTAACGCAGGTACTGGGTGGAGACTTTGCTGCGAGAAGGGTGGAGTCTGCTAGCTATCCAGAAGTGGACCTTACACTAAGTGCTTGCCTAGCTGCAGATGGCCTGAGTTTAATCTTAAACACTGGGTTAGGGTGGTAGGGGTGATGGGGAGAAGAATGATGTCTTGAAAGGCTGTACCAAGGATCTGCCTAAGTGTGAGGAAGATCAGGGTTTTTACACAGTGGCTGACACTAGTAATAGCAACTAAAAGATGGCTAGGATAGGGTGGGCTGGCAGGAAGGTGTTTTCCATCCCCAGCTGAATCTTAAAAGGCAATCTTACACTGGAATAGGACATAGTTTTGACTTTCTGAAAACCTAAAAAAAAAAATTAGTAATCTGTAACTACAGACCTCTGCCTGTCGTTTTCTTTTACTTCTGTCTTTTGTTCTAGCAGCAAGAGAATGACACAATAGACTCAGGCTTAGAGGACAGGAATACTGATTCCTTTATGGGGCTCTTCAATGTCTGGATTCCAAGTAAGACTGAACAGGGTAAGTATCCATTCCTTAATGAGACAGAAGTCCTTCTGAGAATAAAGGCAGTAACTGGAATGAATATCTATCCTTTAAAAGGTAAACTAAACTAAACACTGGAAGAAGAGAGGAAGTACCCAGAGGAAAGTTATGGAGAATCAGATAGGAGTCATTAAGATAAGCGATACCTAAGCACAGTCATAGAGGGTAGTGAGAATCTTGCCCAGAAGCTTGGAAGAAGGTACAGAAGAATGTTAAGAGAAAACATCATGTTCTGGGAACTGTAAAGGGACAAACTGGTGATGGCCACAGAAGCTCTCCAACGATGTTTGCTCAAGGCCAACTGAGTAACAATGACTTTTCTCATGGAGAGGGGCTCTTCCTGAACCTAGTGTCCCACAAGTGAAGTTGGGGACTGAAATGTCTAGGTACAAAGTAGCTAGCTTGCCTAACATTCTCCTGAGCCATTGGAATGCTTGATGCCTGAACTTGAGACTAGCAGTTGTCATTTCTATCTGTAAAAGTTATCTTCGTGCTTGTGCAATAAAAAGGATAATTAGTAAGCGAACTGAGTACTTGTGACAGAATGAGCTATGAGCACTGAAATTCACTGAGCTATACCAGGTAAAGCTGAGCCCAGTTGTCCTATGGAGTAACAAGAGTATGTGAAATGTACATGTGACAATCTGGGCAAGAATGCCATCCTATGCCAACTGATTTCCCAGTGTTTTCCTGAAGTTTTTGTAAAATGGTATGGAGCCCAATTCAAGCAAGACACTGTTACCAAGGCTATTCCTAAATGAGCAGGACACCTTGATGGGACAGATACTCTCAGAGAGAAAGAAATAACTTCTAGGAAGATTAATGACTACAACAAATGGTACCTAAAGACCACAAAAGCTCAGGACAGAGTAGTTCATCTGGTGACTAAAAGGCCAACATTTTTCCATCACTTACCACCTATACCCAGACAAGTCACTTGATCTACTGGAAGGAACAGAGAGAATGGTGACAAGGACACTTTGCAACAGTTATGGAAAAAGTTTGTATTTTAAGTGCATATTCACCAAAAAGCCCTTCAGGAGACATTCTTGTAATGAGGTAGACGAGATGATTTATCCCATGAATGCCAGCTGGTCTTTTTCCTTAGCTGTCAAAGAGCCAGTGAACAGGTTGCACAAGTAATATGGCCATGGTGGCAAAGATGAAGGTTCTATTTAGAGTGTGTAAGCTTGAGATATATCAAGTGCCTATTGTGACAGCAGCAATTAATCAGAGCCTTCTCAGCAATTCTCATAGCTCAGGTAGATAAGGCAGGGGTTGTGAGTGGACTGTATCAAACCTCTTTCATCCAGAGAAGACAAAAATCTATCTTGGGCTAAAAACAAACAAAACAAAACAAAAAACTCAAAAAGAATGTAATGGGATCTGCTGGATGGAGCATATGCAGTGCTAAACCTTAGTGAAGTAACCTCATCAAGAGTATACTAATCCCTTAGGAATGAAAGTAAAGGATCCTGATCAGCTGAGAGATTGGAGATACAGGGAATAAGAAAGACATCAACAGCAACTATTTGCTTCATAGGTACAAAAGGCAGAATGATTCTGGCATGCTACATCACATATATATTCACATATTTTAACTATGCTGTATTGGCTTTACTTAACCTATTTCATTTAAAGTGTGTTAGCAATAGTTGACTTCATAATTTAGTTGTTAAGTTAATTCTTTCTAGAGGCTTTGCATTAACTAGAGGGGGCAGAAAAACCAATCAGAAATCCTGAATCTGGAGCTGGGACTTCAGACTTGGATCATCTTAGAGGGTATGGTGAACATGTGCATTCTGTATAGTTGGGAAAACTGTGTGGTTGGAAAATAGCTTATTGTTATTTGGAAGTTCATGGAAAAAGGAAGTCAAAGGGAAAATACCATTGGGTAACTTAGCTTGTGTCCAGTCTCCCAAAATTTTTGACTTTGTTCCTGTTTTGGTAACTTTACTACATCTAATAAGTCTCACATTTACAAAGTAAGGCCAAAATTGTGCATTTGCTGACAGGCTAGCACCTAGGACAGCAGGTCCTAGTTCTGTCTTGCATTAGTTTAGATGGAGTAACACAAGGCTGTGCCCACATGCTATGCAGTCTATTTCTCTGGGCTGGAACAGACGATTCTGATACTCAGTCCCAAGCTTTCAGATGGCTCCAATGGCACATGGACAACTTGTGCTGAGACTGTTCTGTTTGAATAACTTTAGAATGTGACTCCTGGCTCTCCCTAATACCTAATACCTTTCATCAACTTCTTTACTGAAGATCCAGACCTATTCTGGTTAGTCTTAAGCAAAGAAGAAATTGAACCAAAGACATTAGGCAACTAATGCTTGCAACCAATAAGAGTTTCAAGCTGGGAACCATCTTTTTTGTGTTGTTGTTGTTTGTTTCAAAAAGCCATTTTGGCAGCAGAGGTGTGGAAGAGTTAGAAGGAAAGTCAGAAGGCTGTGGCAAGAATTCAAAAGCTGATTAAGGACTTTGCCCAATAGAAAAGGGAGTGACAACCAGAAAAAAAAAAAAAGAGAGGAAAAAAATAATAAAAAAAAGACAACTCAATACAAATCTGAAATATAAACATGTGAATCACTCAGTCAACATATGGGAAGAGAAAGATAAATAAAAATTGAGAAGAGTGCTTTTTAAAAATTTTGATCTGTTTGGCAAAAAATACAAGCATCAGTAATACCTCAAACTGGCCAAGACTTGGGAAAGACACTAAGGTAAAACTACTGAGAACTGACAAGTCTTATTGTTTTTCTTCTCTTTTTTCTAGTGATAAAGTGTTTGAATTCAGCATTTTTTTTGGGGGGGGGTCCGGTCGTGGGGCTTAAACTCTGGGCCTAGGCGCTGTCCCTCAGCTCTTCAGCTCAAGGCTAGTGCTCTATCACTTGAGCCGCAGTGCCACTTCTGACTTTTTTCTTTTTGCTTATGCTGTGCTGAGGAATCGAACCCAGAGCCTCAGGCATGCAAGGCAAGCGCTCTACCACTGAGCCACCTTCCCAGCCCAAAGTGTTTGAATTCAGGATACGGTGCTAGCTATATCCCCAGTCCTCTTTGGCTTAATTATTCTTCTGACAAGAGTCTTGCATGTTTGACCTGGCCAGTCTCAGACCACGATCCCTCTACCTGTGCCTCCCACAGAGTGTAGCCCAGGGGCTAGTTGTTGGTTGAGGTGGGATCTCAATTCTTTTTTCCGTTAGGTTGGTATTCAAAACACTTTTTATATCACTGTCTTTTTTGTTTTTTACAAGTCTATTGAAACAAACTTTGTTGTTGTTTTGTGCAGGTCATAGAGTTGAACTCAGAGCCTAGGCACTGTCCCTAAGCTAAAACTAGTCTAGCACTCTACCAATTGAACCACACCTGTATATCCAGCTTTTGGTGTTCTTGATGTTTTGGGACTGTTAGGCCTTGTCTGAGAGAGGGCTCCTCCACTGAGCCTTGTAGGATGGATGTATAATGTCACTCCTAGCCTCTACCAATTACATGCCAGTACCACTCCTCTTCTTGCCATTTACTAACTTTAGGCAATATCTGTAGACACAAATATTGCCTAGGGACAAAACTGTTTCTATTTGTGAATATATGAAATAGGATGACATATGTGAAAACATTAAAAAATTATAAAGCCCCAAATCAATTTAAATCAGTATTAATATAAATCAATCTGCAAGTTTACTTTCCCCTCCCCCCAAAAAAGCATTAAAAATTTTACAGTTTCCTTAGGAATGTTTTATTTGCTATTTTTATATATTTTTGCCTACCATTAAAAGCCCTACAGGGCTTTTTGCTTAATTCCTGTTACCCAAACAAAGTTATCTTCATTACAACATAGTTTTTAAGTGTATCATTCTACTAACATGACAGAGTCAAATATAATTGCCATCTCTACAAAGCAGAAATTTTATTTTCTTCATCCAAAATCAAAGTGCTCTGTGCCTACCTTTTAAGGACAAAGGACTGCATCTTGTGAATTCTGTACTTGATGGCTTTTGCTGTTTATGAACTTCCAAGTGTTCCTTAACTCTTGAATCAATGGCTTCTTTTAACAGCAAACAGACTTCCTAAAGTTAAAAAAAAGGATATAACTTTCTAGTTTAATGCAATGTAAAAAAAAAGTTAACATTGAACACATTAAAAGTCAATGCTAAACATTTCCTTTTGTTTGCTTTTTAATTTAGCTATAAATGTTCAAAGGAATGCTGTGTGCTAATGGATAGCACCACAGATTTAAATATGCTACTGAGGTTTACACAGAACTCCATGAAGGTTCACTGTGTGGTCTGAGAAATTAATTTCTCTCTGCTTCAGTCTTACAATTCCAAAAGGAAGATTAAAAACTCACTTCCATGTAAATGTCAGAGTACTGGGGTAATAAAATCAGCAAGGTAAAGGATATTTCCATATAATTATCAGTCAGTTGTACTGTACTGAACAGAAGAGACAAATCAAATGGAATTAGAATTGGCTGGTAGCAAGGGTCTGAGAGACAGGTCCATAGTGGCCTGACAGAGGAGGAGTCAGGAGTAGGAGCGCACTTGTCATGGGTACTGGTGGCTTAGAGAACCCTGGCTACAGCAAAGGCAATGAGGGGCAACCCCCTCTGTTTTACCAGTGTAAAATGTTTATAGATATCTTTCAGTGTGCTCCAAAGGAGCCAGAAGCAGTGATGCTTATATACAAAATTTTCAAACTTGATTAAAGTTGTTTTTTTTTTTTTAGTGTAAACACCAACATTCATTAGTTTCTGGCCTTAGTTTACAAATCGACTAGTGAGAGAAGGGCATTGAGCAGTTCAACAGAGATGCTCTGATTTTCTTCCCCTCTTGTGGATGATACTATATATGCCCACTTGTTTTCATTAAAATTATACTATCTTCATCATTACTTAATGATGAAAATAGCTTCTTATTTTCCTAAGTAGATTAATATTCAGTTACAGATATGCAGGCTTTCATACAACTTTAGCACTGCAAACCACTGTCTAATTTCTGGATACAATTGCTTATATATTTATTATTTAAAAATAACAAACAAGTCAGGTAACAGTGGCTCATGCCTGTAATCCTAGCTACTCAGCCGGCTGAGATGTAAGGATCATAGTTTGAAGCCAACCCAGGCAGGAAAGTCTGTGAGACTCTTATCTCTAATACAGTACTAATACAGTACTCAAAAGAAGCTAGAAGTGGAGCTAGGTTCAAGTGATAGAGTGCTGGCCTTGAGCAAAAAGGCTCAAGAACAATGCTTAGGCCCTGAGTTCAAGCTCCAGGACTGACCCCTTCTCTTCCTTACCCCCAATAAAAAGTTCAGTACCACTGTAATAGCATACTCCATGTAGAGTTTCCTGCTGTACAGGAACATGTAAGCTAATTCAGGAAAACAATATAAAATTGATACTTAGAGATGGTCTAATCCTAGTTCAATTCCCAAAGCCCACAGCAGGCTCTGAGTTGCCCAGGTCACCTCAAACCTGTTTCACTGGTTTCTTGCAATGTCATCTCAGGTTCATCCTGGAATCTTTATAATTACAACATGAGTAAAGCTTCTCATTGCTCTGAAGAGCAACCACAGCAAAACTTTACCTTTATTGCAAATATGTACATACAAATCTATCTATCTATCTACTTCTTAAACAGTACATAATATACTCTTAATTTAAGTCATAAATAGAGAGGGTAGTTGTGGAGGTGGGAGGGAAGGGATGGTAGGGGAAAAACAGAGGAGGAGGCAACAATGCTTGATAAGAAATGTACTCATTACCTTGCTCATGTAACTGTAACCTCTCTGTACAGTATTTCCACAATAAAAACGTAAAAAAGTCATAAATAGAAGTGTCTAGATAGAATACAAAATCCTAGTTTTCATTTTGTAGCCCCAAAGTTGCAATACCTTGTGGAATGTAGTGATATCCATTTACAGTTGAGTGTTTTAGGATTTGTTCATACAATAGAAAGGCAGCCTTGCCTTGTACTGTTGTTTTAACAATTAAAGAATTTTGCTTCACATGCAGGGTTCAACTATGACTGTGCTAGAAAATATGTGAAAGACATACATGGAAACAAGGATTGTTAAAATTTGGTCATAAATTCCCTATAAGGCTAGAATTAAAAATAATCTGACAAAAATAGATTGTAGGCCTAAACACACAGTTTCTCCCTATAGTTATGGGTTTTCTTTCTCTAAGTGAGATTTTCACAACTAAAAGGTAGACTGTACAATATGGTCAAGATGCTCTAGAAACTGACCACATCACATTCACTCACGCATCCTCTTTGGAACCAGAACAATATGAAGAAAAAAATAAACACCTGCCAGTAACATTTGAGGAGCAGATGAAAAGACCATGTCAAAATCAATGACTAACCAAGAGATGCATATGGCATCTCCAGCTCGCAGGGACTTATGTTTGCTTCTTTGAGTTTACAAATGGAACAGTTTGAGTTTGACTGTTTGGGTACAAAGACTACTTGTGGTGGACTCAAAATAAACATATGTTTAATATTTGTAATTAGTCCCTTTTTAAAATAAAGGAACAGGATATTCTTAAGACTTTCACTATATAAAGTGGCTGTTAAAATACCATTAAACTGGTTGCTCATGAGAAACACCAATCATGAGATGAAGTAATGATAAAAAGCAATGAGACACTGAACAAAAGTTATAACCTCACCTAGCTCTTCTTTCTTAGACACAACAAAAACATCATTCCAGAACAACTTTAATGTCAGCAAACATGCAGTTTAAAGGAACAACTTAGAGCAGAGGCAGCAAACCATCAACTTGGCTTTCAGGGGAGTTTGGCTGCTGACATGACCTGCTGCCACTGCAGCATGGTTCTGCAGGTCCCATTGTGTACTGCTCATCTCTGCTAGGTCATGCCTTGCTGCCCTAAATTCAGCACTAGTTGGAGCCACACAATTGTGTGTAGCACCTTGGAACAAAAAATCTAGCCTCCATGCTTTGACTAGGAAGTGGTTCATGGACTCCTAGCATTAGAATACTGCACATTAACTGACTCTTGGAAACACTGCACATAAATGACTAAATATCAACATATAAGGTCTAAAGCCAAATGGTAAAGTTGGAAGAGAAAATTCTGGTCCTGGAATGATAGATTATAGAAATCACCATCTGTGTAAATCAAGTCAGAAACTTTTCAGGTAAGGTTCCTTCATGCAAAGGATTAGTCACTTCAGGGAAATGACTTGAATCACAGGGACACATGTTAATAAACTAAAGCTTAGATTTTTATGACATTGACTGGCTTAGATTTTATGAAGTTGAGTTGACTAACTATTAAATCCTGAAGGGACAATCCAAAGTTAATTACTTGGATAAAGTCCATTATACTGAACCTTGTATATGCCTTTTCTTAGTTTATATCACTAAGTATTCTTTGCAACATAATGATAACAAAGACTTGATATTATCTTTGGCTAAAAATATATTATCCTGTAATTATTTTTCTCATTGGGGAGGTGGGTGGGAAAGTTTTAGTACTCTCCAAAAACTGACTAGGAAATAAAATTGATTGCCACTCACTATCATGAGCTGTTTCTCCATACAATCAACCTGTTGATGAAATTTACTTCTTGCTATAAAATGCAAATGAGACAAATGAATACCATGGAGGAAACAAAGTATATTGATTATTTTGAGAGTTATATAAAAATAACTACCTGACAATCTCTGTTCTCTGATAAGCAGAATCTGGAACAGGAAGTAAAGAATGTTATGGGAAGTATATGTACTTTCTAACCCTCTACCACAGCAGATGTTAATGAGATGTTAGAAATTTAGAAGCAAGAAGCAACACAGGCAGCTATCTGGCCCAACTCCTTCACTTTCTGACAAGGAAGCTGTCTTGGGAGGTTAAACATCTAGTTTGCAAGATGAACTTTGAAAAATGTAGGCTAAGAAGCACAGACTCCCAGTACAGCTGGAAATTTGAGTGTGACTTATGAATCCAACCCAAATCAACTACTAATAGTTTACTATTGACTGGAAAGCCTAATGACAAAACAGTTGATTAACACACATTATCTACGTGATATATATTACAGAAGTGAAAAGTACTCAAGAAATGCAAGAGACCATTTTCTACTGTGACACACTACTTATTGGAAGGGTAAATAGCTAACACTTGAAGTAGCTATAGCACCTCAGCTCATTGCAACAGCAGTGGTGGCATATGAAATGCCTACAGCAGAACGGAATTACTAGAACTAATCTTAGCAGTTATTATTTAATATTATATCTTTATAATTGTTTACATGTCTCCCAACCACAAATGGTGTCAGGTATAGTCCGAGTTTTGAATTTAAATAAATTTTAACTTTTGATAATCAATTTGTACATATTTTATGGTAGTAAGTAGATTTATCTTATAAATTCATAGTTTTCTGCCAATCTTTTTGCTTGTAATCTTTCTATTTAAAAAAAAATTTTTTGGTCCGATTGTGGGGCCTGAACTCTGGGCCTGGGTGCTGTCCCTCAGCTCTTCAGCTCAAGGCTAGCACTCTACCACTTGAGCCACAGCGCCACTTCTGGCTTTTTTCTTTTTGCTTATGTGGTGCTGAGGAATCGAACCCAGGGCCTCAAGCATGCAAGGCAAGCGCTCTACCACTTAGCCAACTTCCCAGCCCTCTGCTAATCTTTTTGATATTCCAAGATTACCAAGTTCATCTAAGATTTTTTTCCAAACTGTTGAAAAATCTCTAAAAATAAATTCACACTGTGGAATAGCATAAACCAAACCTGTAAGTTTTTTTTTTTCTTCTTCTTCTTTGTATTAGTCCTAGTGCCTGAACACTCAGGGCATGGGTGTTGTTTCTCAGCATTTATGCGCAAGTATAGTGCTCCACCACTTGAGCCACAGCACTACTTCTGGCTTTTTGGCAGTTAGAGATAAGTCTCAAAGACTTTTCTGTGAACCATGATCCTCAGATCTCAGCTTCCTAAGAAGCTAGGATTTCAAGCATGAGCTACAAGTACCTGGCACAAACCTGTGTTTTCAAGGGTCAGCTACTCATCATTACCCAGATATTTGCTGTAGTGACTAGCCAACATGAGAAGACACAGTGAAGTATATCTCTACTTGTCAAACATTCATGACAATTCAAGGACAATAGAAGATGGATGGGTATAATAGACGTATGTACTTTGTGTCAAACTTCACACCAGAGCCAGTGGCCCAATCTTCCTTCATATTACTCAGATCAAAATCTTTACTTACCTGAAATAACGTACATTCTTTTTCTTCCATTTTTAACACAGAATTCTTTCCCCATAATAAAAAGGTGAGGAGTTTCTAGTTTAAATAATATAGGCAGTGATGGAGATAAGCTCAGTGGTTTCCTAGTGTGTGGATAGCCCTGAGTTTCTACCATCACACCTAAAATAATAACAAACAAGAAATACACCAAGAGAGTAGCATATAAAACATATGGATGTTCTTGTTTTTGAAGGGAAAAATGTGGAAATATAGGTGTCTGTCATTGGAATACAATTGTACAACTGTTTTTCAAGGTTAAGTACTATTAAGCTTTTTCTCCATTGAGGAAAGTATTAGAAAAGAGCTAACATTTCTTCAAGCAGTTGCAGCTACTTGTGCTTAAATAGCAAAAAGCTTTGTTGTACCTCTTTCTTCTGCTCAGAAAACCAGCTGGTGTCTTTGTTTGAACCTTGTGGCAATATATGAAGATCCACCAGGATAGCAAATTTCCCACACTGAAAGACATTAATGGTAGAGTCAGTGACTATGCAGGTCATATGCAGCAAACTCACAAATTCTTAAGTGGATGTTCATTATGAACTGGAACCAAGGCTTACTACTACATGGAAATCTTACTAACCTGGGTCAGGGCTACAGGTCTAACATACTCCTGTCTTAAGTTTAACATTTATAGTAGAAATGCTAAAGAGATGTGCAAGATTTGTCAAGACAGAAACAACAAAAATCTATCTCTAAGCCACATGTTGTAAGAGGATACCAAGATATCTCAGTTAATTGGAAAACTATCACACACTGAGAGAAGTTCAACGAGTCAGTACTATACAAGTTTCTGAAACAAATTATTCTGTGCACAGCCAAGAAGAGTTATAACCTATTGCAATTTTAAAGAGACAAGACTGTGGCACACATCTTGGAAGAGAAACAAGTCCATATTAAAAAAAATGAACCAAGAAAAAGAAGGTAGAAGTTGAATTCCAATGATCAAAGCTAAAGAAACTTCCATTAAAATACATTACAAACTCTACAAGGTCTGTCTCTATTCCTATTTTACTGGCTAGCAGTTTGGAAAAATACAAATGTTAGCCATACCTGCGATCCTAGCTACTTAAGGAGACTGAGTCTGAGGATTGTGGATTAAAGACACAGCGAGAACAGGAAAGTCTATGAGGCTTCTCTCCAATTAACCAACAAAAAAGCCAAAAGTGGAGCTGTGCTCTAGTGGTAGAGCACAAAAAGAGCTCAGTAAGTGTCCAGGCGTTGAATTCAAGCCCCAGCACTGGCACAAAACATTTTCTAAAACAGTAAAAATAAAACTGTCCAATATGATAGCCAACAGCAATACATAGCTACTGGGCACTGAAAATGTGACAATTGTGACTTAGAGGCTAATGGTTTTTTTTTTTTTTTTTTTTTAAAGTTGGTCATGGGGCTTGCACTCAGCCTGGGTGCTGTCCCTGAGCTCTTTTGTTCAAAGACAGAGCTCTACCACTTTGAGCCAGAGCTCCACTTTTGATTTTCTGGTGGTTAATTGGAGATAACTCTCACGGATTTTCCTGCCCAAGCTGGCTTTGAACCACGTTCTTCAGATCCTAGCCTCCTGAATAGCTAGGATTAAAGGCTTGAACAACTAGCACTCAGCAAGGCTAAATTTTAACTTAACTGAAATTTTATTTAAATAACCCCATGTGGCTAATGGATCTGTACTGGCCAGCAGAGCTGCAGATCCTGTGAAAAATTGTAGGCTCACGCTTTATGAATAATTTTTGAATATCACAAGGTAACTATGAACAAATTACTTTGCAATGGGATGGACAATACAATCACAGATTTGGAATGTCTAAGATACAGATTTAGTTTATAAGTTACAGGGAAAGCTACTTCTGTACCTCTCTGGCTAAGCAGATTATTTTTAGTTGTGTGCCAAAAGCAATGGTGAAAAGAAAGTAGTTTCAACTAGTGGTGTTAACATAACAGACAAAATGAAACTTGATGTCTGAGCATTATCATATATAAAATTTAATTTAAGATAGATTATAGAGCTAAAAACCATTATTGTGACAGAATCCAGGCAGAAATAAATGCTGAAGGAAAAATTCTTTAGCAGGGCATTCTCAAAATTAAAACTTTTGCAATCATAAAAGCATCATTGGTAAAATGAATATGTATGCCATTGACTGGAAACATGTATTCATTAATGCAGGTGTCTAACACAAAGGACTGCTATGCAAAAGATGTAAACTATTCCTACACAGGATTTAAAACAGATATTGCAGATGGGAACAGATATTGCACAAATATGAAAAGTGGCTAATTAAGTCCATGAAAAAAGTACTTGATGCCATTGGTCATCAGGCAAATGTAAATTAAAACCACTAAGAGATACAGCTACAACTGCTACAACATACAGCTATCAGCATGACTGAAATAAAAAAGACTGATACAACACCAAAGGTGAGTAAGGATAAGTAGTGATCCAGACTCTTATAAATTGCTAATGGAAACATAAAATGCATCAGCCACTTTGGCAAACTGTCCATTTCTTACAGCTAAAAAAAAATATATTTATTTATGGATTGAATCAACACTTCACTTCCACCCCACACATATGTCTAAGAAATATGAAACTTTTGTGCAAAGATGTGTTTGCAAATGTACTTGACATAAAAACAAAATTGCAGACAGCCTAAAAGCCCAGCAATAGGTGACTAGCTGACTATTGTATGTACACAATGGGATTCGAATCACCCAACTATTGATAATAAACATGGATTTGTCTTGAAAGCATATACTAAAAGAAAGAGCACAAAACAAAACAATGCATACCATATGATTCAATTTTCTGAAATTCCTAAACTGCTTTTGTTACAATCAAAGCAGTGACTGATGGCCTAGTGAAATGACAAGAATGAACTCTGTGTCCTAATGGGGTATCTTAGGCATACACTGAAAGCAGTACAGTTTACTGAATATAAATTAATGTCAGTAATAAGATTTTTTTAGTACTGAAAATACACTCATATTTGTTGACAGTTAATTTAGTATGTAAGTATTATATTCTCAAAATGTATAGGTATTTTTATGGTTTCCTATGGTATCAGAAGTAAACTGTAGCTTCTATGCTGCTGCAGTTCCGTGTGTTGCAACCAGGCCTTCGTTTTAATGAAAGAGAATCAAAGAGAATATTAGAATGCAATAAAAAATATCAGTGTGTCACATGTTAAGGTTGAGAACTGTTTTGTTTAATGTAAGCATGTGTATAATGACTTATAATGGAAAGCCTATTTCTTATCATGGGCTGTGGTTTTAAAAGCTTGGAAAAACCATACTCAAGTTATGTTGTTAGGGTCAAAATTTCAACTGCTAATCACAGTTAACCTTTAAGGAGTATGCTGCCACCAGGTGGAGGTCCCATGCCACAACGACATGATCTTAGGGAATATTAACCTTCTATGGTGCCATGGACCACTTACTTCAGGCAGCTGTTAAGATGATAAAATATAGTCAGAATGTTTTTAAATGCTTAGAACACAATACATGGGATTTAAAAAACTGAATACAGTGATTACAGTTATCAAAACTTAAAAAAATAACAATTTGTGATATAATACTGTATATATATGCCCATGAAGGCACTAGCACCTGTGGGATAGTGGCAGGTTTAGTAGCTGCTATAAATCAAAAGTGTTTGTGGCAGTCTCAGCCATCAGCAACAACTGCAATATAAAAAGCTGGGACTTCTATCAGTGACAAATATTGCTAATACCACTGTATATTTTTAAATTCTTTTTTCATAATAAAAGAAAAACTACACCTATTAGAACTTAGTCAACATAATAATGTAACTTTTTCTCTTCTCCTAGCCCATAGAAGACTGAGGTTTCAGTAGTTATAAAAGCCCTCCAAAGAATTGAGCTGTGTCTCTGCTACATTTTGCTCAGGTTTCCTGAAGATGTCCCCCAATTCTTGTCTAAACCAAGTTCTCTACTACTCCCTTTATTAGCAAAAGCAACCCTTAGGATGCAAAACAGTTATTAAAAAAAAAACTAATGCTTGAATAATTTGGACTCAAAGTGTTATGGCCACTTCCTAAAGAATTACATTGGTCCAGTATGTCTTTTCTAATCAGTTTGTGATTTCAATCATAATAAACCATTAAGTCTGCTTGTAAGAAAACTGATTAGAATATCTTTTTCTTTCTCACTGAATCTTACTCCAGTAATCCAACTTGCCTGGGATTCTACAATATTCTAGCATTAGGCTTGTAGTCTCTTCCCCGTGCAAAAGCTTTCTCAAATTCCCAAACTAATCAGAGGCATTTTGCCTTTCTAAGGTTCCCTATTCTCAAAGCTTTGTTGGTTTTTTTTTTCTCCCAAGGGTAGACAGAAGTGAAAAAACAAAAAACAGAAACCACAAAGCTTCCAACACAGCAGGCAGCACAGCACCCTCCTTTTCTTCTCCACAGCAATTAAGAGGAGGTTCCTTTAACTCCCAGAAGAAGAACTCTCCAGCTCTCTAGGAAGAGGAGCAACACAATAACCATCACTTTTTTCTCAGGCCTGAGCAGCTCATTTTATAGAAGCCAACTTACCTCTTCACCAGCTCAAAGGCTAGGAGACACACCCTTGTATACCACACACTGGGCTGGACAGCCCAGGGGCTGGTCCTGCTTCCTCTCACTTTCCCCTCCACTTCCTGTCCAACCATTCCCCTGACCAAAATCCTGGGAATCACCCCTAATTCACCAAGGTTTTTTTTTGCCAAAACCCTGGGAGTCACCCCTAATAAGCTCCCCTTTCCTAGCCTTTCAGTATCAGCTACTGCATCTTACCAGTTTCATTTTATTTTGTGAAGTTCTCAGGTACAACCTTATTTTGCTTCATTGCTCATCTCCTCTCCCACTTGGAATATTAGAACCATCTTTAATGGTGTTCTAGATGAACCTTAATGCTGCTTCCAAGACAAACGACCATGTGAATCAGATTCAGTACCAATGCACTCCTACTGCAGCTCGGAGCACGTCAGGAGCCTCTCATGGGAATGAAGCCCACCTCTCCCTTACCTCCCCTGCTATGCTACTCAGCACAGGTCCCCTGCACAGAAGGCCCCTTGCTTTATCCCTTGCTTAGTAAACTCATACGTACTCTAGAAGCTTAGCAGAAGCATGGCTGGCTCCATGAAGTAAAGATTCAAGGGTTCCAACCCCTGCCCCCTACTTCTCTGTAGTAAACTTGTTCTCTATATGCTTATGGACTTCTGTATTACAAGACTGGTCATGGAGGGGCCCCCTTAGCTAGACATGAGTGCCACTGGAAACCATTCCACACCTCTGTTGACTCTGCTTCTTTAGTGATTAACAAACACAGTTAGAATTCACAGAACACCCAAACAAATGACAGAATAGAGTATGAGAAGGAAACAACTTCTTTGAGGTTATACCGGCAACAGAGTGACAGACTGAGGAATCAAATATAGATTTGTGATACTCGAAAGTCTA